AGTCACAGAACACTCTATGCCTAAATATGTAGTTAGGGAGAAACCTCACTGATATCAGTGGATTGGACTGTGCCCTTTATATTATTATTAGAAACATTTTTTTCCCTGCTTCATTATTAATAAGCAAAACAGGTTGAAAAGTGAAGTGGCAGCCCTGTAATTTCAGCTTTATTTGTAATTTAAAATGCATAGGCAATGTAGTCAATAATATGTTTATTGTGTTTGTTTTTTGAAATACTGTAATAATTCTGTCACTTGAAGGGTGTCTCTAGTTTAGAGACATAAAACAGAAAAGGAAACAGACCATTAATGCATTACATATAAGGAATGGAAAAAGACTTATACAAATCTCTTATCACCACAAACTGCACTTTCTAGTATGTTTTTTCTCTTCACTTTCAAGTCATTTATAATCATAAGCAACACACTCTTGAACTTTGTGTTCTTCAATCTAAAATAACTTTGCTGTGCAGGATTGGCCACCAAGTAGATCATAAAATTAAAGAACTTGCTTATTATTTTCATGATTTTGAAATGGTTTCAAATAATTTGGGAGTGCAAAGAAAGGTTGAATGATATAATTGGAACTGTCTAATTAGTTTCCATGATGTATGTTTGGTCCAACAAAAAATAGTTTGCCTTTAGTTTTGTGATATATTTTTTAAGGACTGTGACAAGAATACTGATTTATTTCAATTTTCTTTATTAATTGTTGCTTAGGTATTTAGCTGCCACTTTCAAAGTTATATTGATGGGGGACCTATCCACACTGAAAAACCACATACAATTCAAAACTGCTGGAAATTCTGTGTAGTACAGTAGTTCAAAGCTTATATGAATTTGATGTTACAACTAATATCACAATGGATTAATATTTTCTCCTCTCCCTTTCAGCACTGGAAAGTATTCATTAAAATCAGAGAAATGTTTATTCTGATTCCAGCCCTGATTGGTTTGAAAGGCAACCTTGAAATGACCTTGGCATCTAGACTTTCTACAGCTGTAAGTAAAGTCTATATGTTGTCTTTTAATATACAGAGAAGGATTTAGAGTTCTTGTTTGGCAAGAAAAGTATTGACATGTGATCACCTCTCCAATAGTGGAAAATGCATAGATGGCTCAGTAGTTCTTATTGTACCTATATAGGTTGGACCTGTATGTTTTATTTTCC